TAAATATAAAAGATGTATTTTCTTAATGATCACTAATATAATTCATAGCAAGATGGCAAAATTAAAATGTATTAAACATTCTTAATAAAAACTGAGAAATACATGCCATTAATATCTGTAAAATAATAAACTCAAGAATTGAGCACAACCTAGATTTAATTCAACCAAGTGTAATGTTCTAGAACTTAATATGTCCTCCATAACTCCTAAGTACACTGCTCTGACACTTCTTGACCCTTTAAATGCCCTGGTCTTTAATGGGGAGTGTTGCTCAGCTCGTCTCTACAGAATCTCTCACAGTAGCTCAAGAGTGTTAAGATTGAGTGAAATACATGTCCGCTGAAGGATTTCCAACTCAGGAGAATTAATATCTTCATTGTCATGTAAAAAAAAAAAAGCCCAACAATGCAGGGAATGAGAAGATAGCATCTTCAGTTTCAGGTTTTTGTATTACATCACACAGTGGTGTGTGAATTCATGACAGCGTTGATAAAGTACAACTCCCTCACACCTTCAGCACTCATACATCCCTATAGAAGAGCTTTACTACCACTGAATGCCACTGTGGAAACCAGGCACTTCTCTTCAATTTGGCTATATTTTCACACTTAAAACAATAATTTGGTATTCCTCTTGTACCATTGTCCTATTTTATGCTAAGAAATCAATCTCCTGACAGTTCTCTCTCAAGTGGTTTCATTGTTGTCAGCATTAAGTCCGAGTATGATTCAGTGTGCCATATAACACTTAATTATCAAGAAATTACTTACCTTTAACAGTTTTGGTTCAACATACTTACCTGTTGATCAATACTTGCCTTAACCCTTTAACAGTTTTGGTTCAACATACTTACCTGTTGATCAATACATGCCTTTACCTTACAACAATTTTTTTGTTTGTTTGTTTTATTTAGTAACTTTCAGGAGGGTGTACTCATTTTTGCAACAACATTTTATCACTTTGATAAGAAAATTTTATTTTCTTAAATAATTTTAACATTCCTCTTTGGTAACTGATCAGACTTGCTTGAATATTATCTCTCTAAAAAAACATAACATGTCTTCCCAGCAAAGAGTAATTGCTGAATTTGTTAAGTTTCAGAGAGGGTGTACTCATTTATGCTGTGCACTATGTATATATGTGTGTGTGTGTGTGTATATATATATTATATATATAAGAAAACTTACCACCACCCGCAATAGTTGCCTTAATGAGGGAGTCCAACTCTTCATCGCCTCTGATTGCCAACTGTAAGTGGCGTGGGGTGATTCTTTTAACCTTCAGATCTTTAGATGCATTTCCTGCTAGCTCAAGTACCTTAGTGTAAAACCAGGCACATTAACTCACAGGTTTGATAAACCTCTGCACCAAAGCAGTCTCTTTTTACTTACCTCAGCAGTCAAATACTCCAGAATAGCAGCGCTGTACACTGCGGCGGTGGCTCCAACGCGCCCGTGGCTGGTGGTCCTGGACTTCAGGTGTCTGTGAATACGACCCACTGGAAACTAAATTTGACAAAGATGAGTGACGAATAAGTTAATGAACAGACAAAACTGGCTCGAAGCATGTCATTTTCCATAAGAAAAATAGTACAACCGCCCAATAAGAATTTCCAAACGAATTTATTGTTAAACTAATTGAATTAAGAGCCTTTGTTCATTACGGTGGTGTCAGACCTGCAGTCCAGCCCTCTGTGAGCGCGAAATAGCCTTTGCTTTAGCCTTCCCGGAGTCCTTTCCTGCTTTACCTCCAGCCTGCAACCAACAGAACCACATTCACTCATCGTGTTTTAAGTGTAAAAGGTCTTAAGACCTCAGTCGACATTACGATCAAGACTGTTTTAAAATAACGTCGGCACAAATTACGAATTCGCTTAGTTCGCGCTCGTGTTGATGGGACGCCACTTGGCACACCAGCTACAGCTAACTAACTGCACAGTATTATTCACTAGAAAGACTAAGAAATCATAAATGTACGTTTAATTTGTTAGGCATATATACAAAATACGAATGGCTCGAAACATACAACACGGAAGAAAATTACTCACCATTTTGCAATCTGTGAATGTCGATTGCTTGAGCTGAGCCTGCACAAACCGCTCCACACCAAATTCAAACTAAGTTACGCGCCTCTTCTTCTTCTTCTTCTTAGTTTTATGGCGAGTTGCAATCTTTGCGCATATCGCCACCTACTGTGCTATTGTGCAATCAGGATTTTCTTTTATCATATTAGTTATTCTGTCTCAACTCTGAAGCCATCAAGAGTCCAGGTATCGGTTGGCGCTGCGTGTTCAGCTCCTCCGTCCTCCACACTGAACCCCTTAGACTTAGAATCTATTTTTTTACTACCCCATAACCAGTTGTGAGCATTAAAATCCCCACACCATAACTCTTTCTTACCTCTTTCAACCGTTTCAAGTGAGTTTAATGACATGTTTTTACATGGATTATAAAAGTTACATACTACAAGTGAGTTCTCATGATAAAAAATTTCAACCAAAACACACTCCAACTCCTTCACCTCTGCAAGAACTCTATCTGACATTCCATCTTTTATAAACGTAACTACCCCTCCTCCTTGACTCCC